ATGTGACAAATAATTTATTTTTATTTTATATTATATTTTTTTCACAAATGAAGGATACAAGAGATCTTGGAGAAATAGTATTTCGTGAGAGGCTTTAAGAAAATTGTCTCTTATCAAATTTGTCTCAAGTTATTTAAGTCAAATCCTAAAAAGAGAAACGTTATCCTATTAGGCTTTGAACTCTCATTTTTTCCAGCTTCTAAAGACTATCCTCAGCCCCTTTGTTTAATCTTGGCCCACATGACGACAACTCCTGAAAATATTCTCACGGTTAACTAACAAATGTCATTGATGTTACTACCGCGGAATTTGACTCCATGGCTCAAGATATAAAATATCTTTACCAATAAAGCTTACCCTGCAGTAGTTTCTTGATACTGGCACATAAAAGAATAATCGACCGTTGTCCGCACCACAAATTAGTTAGACACAATCAAAAGAAGAATAATTGCCCCAATCAATATTTCAATAAATACCTCTTTGTTAAAATTTGGTCTGCTTGCAGTTCGTATATGTATGTGTGTAAGTCAGAATGTATGTTGGAATACCAATCGCAGGCTATTTATCAATTTAACACTAGGACCAATTGTCTTAAGTACTGTCATAAGTATTCAGTTTTGTATTGCCATTGCCAGTATCCACCAGTACAGCATTGACGATTATGCTCACTATGTGGTCTCCAAATATTTATTATTAAAATTCAATCGTTGCGGGAGGGTAGCCACAGGGTGATGTGGCCTATAAATGGGCTTGGAAACTTAATATAGGGTGAGATAAAAAAAACTGCAACAAAGTCAAAAGCCATAATTTTTACATTTTTTTTTTTTTAAATTTTATTGAATGAAAGGAAACAAGTAAAAAGCAGCTAAGTCGCGCCGGGCAGTACTTTTAATACCCACCACCATTTCGAAGGAACTTGAAAAATTAAAAAAAAAATCCGAAAACTGTCACTTAAATTTAAACCGTTATATGGGGATTATACGAAGATGTGGACCTGCATACGATTTTTTTTTTTGCCATAAGCAGTAGTACCCATTACGAACTTCAAATACGAATTTCGAAATAATTCCGGTAAATAATGTCAATAAAATAATGAAAATACCGAATATGGAGTTATATGGGGGCTGTACGAAAATCTGGATCTGCATACAACATTTTTTGCAATAGGTTGTAGTACCCATTAGAACCTTCCAGTACGAAATTTGAAACGATTCCGGTAAAGAATATTGCTGAAATTATCAAAATACCGAATATAGGGAGGTACCGTTATATGGGGCTATACGAAGACTTGGACCTGCATACAAAAATTTTTGTCATAGGCTGTAGTACCCATTACGAACTTCAAATACGAAATTTAAAAAAAAAAATCCGGTGAATAATGTCGCTAAAATCATCAAAATACCGAATATCGGGAGGTACCGTTATATGGGGGCTATACGAAAACGTGGACCGACAAGGCCAAATTTACGAACTTAACCTGCCTACTGCTAAACTATGCATGTATGCACAATTTTAGCCTCTATCTCAATTCGTTCGAAAGATAGCGTGATTACAACAGACAGACAGACGGACAGACAGACAGGCGGACATCGTTAGATCGTCTTAGAATTTAACTCTGATCCGGAAACAAAAACATGAACTTGATACAAGAACTTCAGAAGACCTTCCATCTTTCGAAAAGAAAATTTCAAAGAGTAACAAACTGAATGACAAACTTAATATACCCTCCATAGAATGGCGGAGGGTACAAAAATGTCGGAAATTACATCAAATGTTAGAATGAGTTTAGATTTGTTCGAATTGGTCACCTGTGGCACTAATTATGGCCTTCAAACGGCAAATAAAACAGCCACAAACTGCCCGGATGTTGCTCTGCGGTATTTCGGCCCATTCCCGGCGAAGCGCTCGCTTGAGGTAATCGACACTTTGGCATTTTTTGTGCCAACATTGCTTTTCAAAATATTACAGACACAATAGTCCAACGGATTGAAATGCGGAGATTCTGGTGGCCATTGGGCGCTGGAAATGAAGCGAGGAACCTCATTTTGTAACCATTCTTGATTGGCGCGTGCTGAGTGCTATGGTGCTGAGTCCTGTTGAAATGTCCAAGCTCTGCGGTCAAAATGTTTGCTTGGCTAAGGCTTTAACACTCCCTCCAGATTATTTTTGCTATAATATTCGGCATTTATTCTGATGCCACGGTCGATTTATACGAGCGGAGAGTGACCATCGGCTGTTGTGGCGGCCCGCACCATCACCATGGCCGGCGCTTGAGTTCTGGTGGCCAACCGAAGGTGAACAGTTTCAGCTGACCTCTTTGGCAACTAAACACGATCATTTTGTTTGTTTACAAACTGCTAGACAACGAATGTTTTCTCATCGGAGAAAACCAAATTCGACAGTTCACCTTTTTCGGCCAAGCGAAGCAACTCTTCAGCTCCTCTGAGTCAATTTTCTTTCTGTTGCTGTGTATGTTCTTCCACGCTTTGGAAATTCAATGGCTATTCAATATTTGCCGAATGGAATATTGCGATATGTTCAGTTCACGACCCATTTTTCGGCCACTGCGACGCTGGTTTCGATCAAGTCGCTTCTTTACTTTTCGAACCATTTCTGCCGATGTTGCTGTTTTTTTCCGTCCACTTCCTTGACGTCGCTTCCAGTATCAGGGTAACGAGCGATGGTACGAGACACAAAAGATTTATTCACATTTAAATGCTGGAGTGCTCTAGCGATAGCCACTTGCGGGTTTTTAGCCAAATATAAAGAAAGCACACTATCACGCTTCAATTCCATCATGAATAACTTTTTTCTGGAAAATTCTCACCAAAATGCTTTTGTACGCTTGTAAACAATATAATGAGCTGTCAGTGGAATAATTTTAACAGCTGTCAGACTAGTGGCTAAGGAATGATAGTAGTCTGAAGTTGGTTGCTGTTTTTTCATCTCACCCTGTAGAGCGTTTTCTTAACATTATATTCTATTCAGTCCGTAGCATTAAGTTAGTTAATTTACCAGGCCTTTATCTTGGCGGCGTACTGCCTCTTTTCCGCTCCGTCCCAGGTAGAGCTTTGCCTTTTCGTAGCATGTTTAGATAAATGATACAAATAATTTGTAGCCGTAAATTTGCATTCACATTAAGTTACGTACGAACTTCAGCTTCAGTATTGCAATCGTAATTGCAATCGCCACCATTGTAATCGTAGTTCGCAATGACCGTTCCATATTTGGTCATTCGTATTCCCTATGGTCCGCATTCGAAGTGCAGCCATGTAATCGCATTCATATTTTGAAGTACGAGTATCTAATTAATAAAGCGCTGTTATGCAGCAGCAGCAACAAAATAAAAAACGATTTTGTGGACATGCTGGACTTGGTGGCTTGGCTTGAACTGGATTGGACTGACTCCACAATGAACTGTGCTGGCATCTTGGTTAATGTGGTACATAATTTAGCCGGACCATCGGTGGTCGCTTGCCGGACAGTTGCTGGTTGCAGTTGCAATTGCTGTTGTTTGTTTATGCCAGCCAAGTAGTTGAATAGTGTCCAGCTACCAGCAATGAGCCGACCACTCAGTTGGCAGCAATTCGCTCATAAACACCCACCATATTTCTTGACAGTTTTTTTTCCAGCCGCTGCCACCACTACTACCGCCAGCACTCAACACGGCCTTAAAATCACGCTATCGATGGAGCTGTAAGCGTTTATGTTATTGCAATGTCCAGCAATTGAGCTGTTGTTGATGGACAAAAGGGTTGGTTTGCTTCGTGGCACTGTGTTGGGATGTGGAGTACTTCGGCTTTTTGTTGTGGTACTTATGTGTTTTGTTCGCCTGAGTGGTTAGCAAGAAACGGTGGCACATTAAACCCTCATGTGTTGCATTGTCGGAAATTTATTGTATCGATCGGATCACATGCTGTGAGCTACAAGTGGTTCCTTAACAATGTTGTTTTGGCCGTAAGCTCAGCGAAGGCCAGAGGTGTCAAATGCAGCTGACTGACAGAAAGAAAGAAAGAATAAATGAGTTAATACAAAATGTGCGGTAAATGAGGCAAACACAACAGCAACAACAGATGGAAATGTAAAAACAAATAAATTAATTTTCCTCATAACCTCTAGTGGTGAACTTGGGGTTAAGAAAAATTGTGGAAATCAAATTTCCCATTCTGGTGGACTGAAAAGGAATTTTCTCATAGGTTGCTCTACTAAGACAGTCAGACCAAATACGAGTTTTCTGAAAGGACAAACTTTATTCAGCCAGACTGATAGGAAAAATTTGTTTCTGACAGGAAAAACTCTATTTAGCCCGGCTGAATAGGATTTTTCTGATAGGAAAAACTCTATTCAGCCCCGCTGAATAGGATTTTTTCTGATAGGAAAAACTCTATTCAGCCCCGCTGAATAGGATTTTTTCTGATAGGAAAAACTCTATTCAGCCCCGCTGAATAGGATTTTTTCTGATAGGAAAAACTCTATTCAGCCCCGCTGAATAGGATTTTTTCAGATAGGAAAAACTCTATTCAGCCAGGCTGAATAGGATTTTTTCAGATAGGAAAAACTCTATTCAGCCAGGCTGAATAGGATTTTTTCCTATATGAAAACCCCTATTCAGCCAGGCTGATTAGGATTTTTTCCGATAGAAAAAACTCTATTCAGCCAGGCTGAATAGGATTTTTTCTTATAGGAAAAACTGTATTCAGTTCGGCTGAATAATTTTGGATAGGAAAAACTCTGTTCAGCCTGGCTGAATACATTTTTTTTGAATAGGAAAAACTCTGTTCAGCCTGGCTGAATACATTTTTTTCCGAATAGGAAAAACTCTATTCAGCCTGGCTGAATAAATTTTTTCCGGATAGGAAAAACTCTATTCAGCCTGGCTGAATAAGATTTTTCTGAGAGTAATTTCCTCTGTAAACAAGCATTCTCTTCGCTCTCTCTCTCTCTCTCAACCCAATCTGTGCATCATATGATCTTAAAATTTTCCTTCTTTTTCTTTGCAGGCAGAGGGCCCTCCCGTTCAAGTCGAACCCGTAGATTTAAGTTTACGTTCACCAAAAGGTAAGTCTGTCTTTGTTTGCTATTTAAAAAAAAGCTAAAAATTTAATTGGAATCTCCTGAAATGGACAACTTTTCACTGTTGTCTCTGGATGGACAGTAGCTACAAAAATTTGAATTCAAAAAACATGCTCCCCCTGTAACATCCGCAGCTGATGTACAAACTCATAGAAATTAAACAGACAAATAAATTGGTATATTGTGACAGGAACTACACCCGATGTCCTAATATCCTATCTCTGCCATTTGTTGTTCCTTAGTAGCTTCATTACGGATTATGGCTTGTTGGATTTTGGGCGACAACTTGTTGTAGTTGTCAGTTTATTCGTGCTTGACCAGCGAGTATACAAATGCCAAACAAATGCTTATTGGTGGCCATTTAAGCTGTCATTGTCTCCAGCAGCAGCAGCAGCCGCCGCAAACAATGATCAGTGGTCATGTTCAGCTGTTTGTTGAGCTGACTAGATATTGTATCTTTCCCCCCATGAGAATTCTTCTCGTTTCGATTGTGTTTATGATGGACAAAACAATTCTAAGTTAAGAACTCGACTAAAGCAAGGTTTCAACTCAGCTTAAAACCTCTAGTACAATAAAATTTGAATTTGTTGACCGGGTCTGTGGGTCTCGTTTTAATGGTCGGCCAATTGTTTTATTTGCCACTACATTGTAAGGCGAACACGATAAACATATGCATATCACATTGTATCGCATGGAACATGTTGTACAGCATTGTGGTTGTGGTGTGACAGGGTTTCTGGAGCAGGTTCGCATAAATGTTTATATTAGCATTAATGCAAGTAATGTGTTGGCATTCAATCAAATTATGGTAAAAATATCGAAAAGATACAAAATAAATGTGTTATTGATTTTAGATACGAAGGTGAACATTTTAATTGTTGCAGCCGTTCAATATAACTCTTATATAATAATGAAATTCTATTCAAAACGCCTAAATACCATCGGCTGAATGGGAGGGATTTTCAGACGGCACATCCCAATTAAACCTCGGCTGAATGGTAGATACATTGACGCCAGCACCCTATTCAGCCTAATGGCAATACTATATTCAGCCCCGGCTGGATAGAAGTTAGCTTCACAGCAACACTCCATTCATCCCGGGCTGTATAGAAGTTAGCTTCACAGCAACACTCCATTCATCCCGGGCTGTATAGGAGTTAGCCTAATGGCAACACTCTATTCAGCCCGGGCTGTATAGGAGTTAGCCTAATGGCAACACTCTATTCAGCCCGGGCTGTATAGGAGTTAGCCTAATGGCAACACTCTATTCAGCCCGGGCTGTATAGGAGTTAGCCCAATGGCAACACTCTATTCAGCCCGGGCTGTATAGGAGTTAGCCCAATGGCAACACTCTATTCAGCCCAGGCTGTATAGGATGTAGCCTAATGGCAACACTCTATTCAGCCCGGGCTGTATAGGATGTAGCCTAATGGCAACACTCTATTCAGCCCGGGCTGTATAGGAGGTAGCCTAATGGCAATACTCTATTCAGCTCGGGCTGTATAGGAGGTAGCCTAATGGCAACACTCTATTCAGCCCGGGCTGTATAGGAGTTGACCCAGTGGCAACACTCTATTCAGCCCCGGGCTGCATAGGAGTTAGCCTAGTGGCAACACTCTATACAGCCTCGGGCTGTATAGTAGTTGACCCAGTGGCAACACTCTATTCAGCCCCGGGCTGCATAGGAGTTGACCCAGTGGCAACACTCTATTCAGCCCCGGGCTGCATAGGAGTTGACCCAGTGGCAACACTCTATTCAGCCCCGGGCTGCATAGGAGTTGACCCAGTGGCAACATTCTATTCAGCCCCGGGCTGCATAGGATTTGACCCAGTGGCAACACTCTATTCAGCCCCGGACTGTATAGGAGTTGACCCAGTGGCAACACTCTATTCAGCCCCGGACTGTATAGGAGTTGACCCAGTGGCAACACTCTATTCAGCCCCGGACTGTATAGGAGTTGACCCAGTGGCAACACTCTATTCAGCCCCGGGCTGCATAGGAGTTAGCCTAGTGGCAACACTCTATTCAGCCCCGGGCTGCATAGGAGTTGACCCAGTGGCAACACTCTATTCTGCATAGGAGTTGACCCAGTGGCAACACTCTATTCAGCCCCGGGCTGCATAGGAGTTAGCCTAGTGGCAACACTCTATTCAGCCCCGGGCTGCATAGGAGTTAGCCTAGTGGCAACACTCTATTCAGCCCCGGGCTGCATAGGAGTTAGCCTAGTGGCAACACTCTATTCAGCCCGGGATGCATAGGATTTAGCCTATTGACAACACTCTATTCAGTACGGGCTGCATAGGAGTGAACCTAGTGGCAACACTCTATTTAGCCCTGAGCTGTATAGGAGTTGACCCAATGGCAACACTCTATTCAGCCCCGGGCTGTATAGGAGTTGACCCAATGGCAACACTCTATTCAGCCCCGGGCTGTATAGGAGTTGACCCAATGGCAACACTCTATTCAGTCCCGGGCTTTATAGGAGTTGCCCCAATGGCAACACAATATTCAGCCTTGGCTGAAAAGATGCCAACCTACCGACAACTCTCCCTTTAGCTCTGGCTGAAAAGGAGCCCAATCAACTGCAACTTACTATTCAACCCTGAAAAGGTAGTTCCCTATTAAGCCCTGCTGAAAAGAAGCCGTCCTAACGGCAAATCCCCCTTCAACTCTAGGAAGGAGCTGACCTTCTGAAAAGAAGCTGATCCAACGGCAACTCTCTATTCAGGTCTGCCTGAAAAGGAGCTGGCCTAACGGGAACTCTATATTTTGCCCGGACCGAAATTGACCTGTTGACAATTCTTTATTCAACCCTCGCTGAATAAGAGATCTACTTGCTGTAACTCTCTATACTCTCTCTCATCCAACGACAACTCAGCCCTGGGGAAGTGGTAACTCTGTTAGCTTTGCTAAAAATTCTTTTTCTATGCGACCTGTAAATTTAATTTTTTCATTGAAAAAAATCTCACTTCCAATCTCTTTGCCTAGTTAATGTTCTAACGTAAATATATGGACTACTATTACCACAACTATTGCCACATTATGCCTGCTTCTGTTAATACCAGTATATGTTAACTGATTTGTTACGCTGCTCTGCTCTGTCTTGGCTTATTCAATGGGGCTTTTTTGTAAGTGGTATGCAAATTCAAATTGATGATTAATAAATTTAAAATTGAAATGTTTGTGGACATAAGTGGCGAACTGTTAGGTTATTTTCTCTACAGCGTTTTTTGTATGCTCTGCTCAGTCGCTTGTCCGCCATCTATCCATTGGCTTTATGTTATTTACTTTGGGAATTTTGTTGTTTATTTGAGTGGCTCGAATTTCAAATACGGGAGTGCAGTAGCAAAGCAAGGCTTTAAAAGTTGCTCTAACCGATGTTGCATAAACGCCTTTGGGGAAATTTTCATTTCGAGTTTTATTTACGACATGCTTATTTTCCGGGAGAAGAGAGAGATAGAGAGTTACAGAGAAAGAACTGCAGTCCTGTCGGAACGCAAAATTGACGATGATGACGTTGCGCTGGTATGGATTTTAAGATTAACTGCAACATTTATTGGTAGAATATTGCCGACTTCGCTGCCGTTGCCATTGTCGAGGTTGTTGGTGGTTGTGGGGTAGGTTGGATGTTTGGTTGGCTCTGCAACTTGCCGATGTAGCGTATTGTTATCACCACCTTTGCTACTATTTTACATACCGCTGGCCTGGGTGGTTGTTTACGAGATCAATGCAAAGCCAAATGATTGTCTGAGTGTGGCTGCCTAGCTGGTTCTCTGGCCAAAATGGAATTGCCCACAGTACTCACTTATCCACCAGCAACAACAAACAATCAATTCAACTTTAAGATTGTTGGTGTTATCTGCTAAAGCGTATAATTTAACAATTTAATTGGATCGGCATTGCTCTTCATACCGTTAAGCAGATACTTCATGGCGTTTGTTTTTTTTCTTTTCTTCTAGAATCTCGGGTTCCGGTTAGCACTTGATTTGATTAACGTGCCCAACTAGACATAAATTAATTGTTTGATTATACATTTTAGCTGTTTTACAATTATAGTTCGAACATTTGTAACTGGTAGCCGTCAAGTAGAGTATTTGCTGTATTGCTGGAACAAGGTGTTGATTTGATTTGGTAGCTGTTGCTCGCCAGAAAACTTTTTTTAATTTTCTTCTGCAGAGATAAGTGAATCTTAAACGAGTGTAGTTAGATGTCATGGATAGCAATAATAATTTAAATTTAGTTCAAACAATGTTGTTGTATGGACTGACTGGTTGAATGGAGCCTGTGGAATGACACAGACACGGATTCGAATAAATAAAACTGTAATTATGGACAGTTATGACTTAATCATACAACTGATAAGTATAGTGTTAAGAAATTACTTAGGTTGACCGAAGTTGTTTCCTTGACCTGAGGGAGCCACCCCTTCGAAATGGTTACATTTCTCACATTTTTATACCCTACAACACTATGTGTTGGGGCTATTATAAGTTTGATTGGGCCAAAAATTATGTAACACCTCGAAATATTGGTTTCCCACATAGGAGAGTATATATGGATCTTTCTATCTCGCCGAGCTGAGTAGATCTAGCTATGTATGTCCGTCCGTCCCTCCGTCTGTCCATGTTAATTTGTAATCACTCTACAGATCGCAATTTTGGCACGATTCTCACGAAATTGAAAATGGTGGTGGGGCTAGAGCCAGAATAGAACTCTATTGCTTTTGAAGATGATCGCATGATATTTGAAATGGACCAAAAACTAAAAAAATTCCTGATTCTACTTGCTCTACAGGTCGCAATTATGGACCAATCGAAACGGAAGTTAGCGTGGGGCTAGAGCTTCGGGCTGGGCAGAAGCCTTCCAATTTTGGAATAATATTTAGTGGGTGAAATAGACCATAACATTTGTGTTAAATAAAAGTCAAATTTTCCATTAAACCTCGAATATTTTTAAATCGCAAATAGGCGAACAGATCAATTCT